CTCTGTCTGGGCCATGTTTACAATTTCGAAATGAATATATTTGAGGCGAAATGTTTTCCAAAACGCTGCACTCTTCAATGCCCAGCTTTTAGCCAAATTGCCACACATTTCAGCTTGCAACTGTTGCTATTTGTTGCCATTTGTTGTTGCAGTTGCAACACACACAATTGAAAGACAGCAACAACAACAAGAACAACAACACACCGAGCAAAGTAAATAAGCGAACTTGAGTAATTGAAATCTGCTGCGATCTTGGCATGCTCTGATTTGCATTTAACATCAATATTTCAATAAAAAAAATTGTAAGTGAATTGAATTTGAAAGTTAGTCGGATTAATATTCGAGCAGAACTATGTTTAATAGATTTTTAGCTTTTACTTTCAATGAGATCTTATTGAGCATTGTCAGTGTCGCACTCCCATTTCAAAGTACCGCGATAAATGTTCTTAGATCAGTGTTCCATCTTCATTATTCATTAAAGTAATATTATTAAAACTTGATATCTGTAAAAACTGCACACACTCGTATCTCTTACAAACTAAAAAAAAGATATCTTATAATACAATCTTCATAATTCATTCGTCATATTAAAAATATCCGATCTGTAAAGTTGCTCACTTTTCTGTCTTTAGCTTATTGCAATTTGGCACAAATAAATATTATCAAACTATAACTATAACCATATATATATCTATATCTATATCAAATACCAGCATTCCTTTGTTGCTGTTGGGTTTGTCTTTAGTAAAAATAAATATTGTGTCGGTTTTTTGTGTTTATTATTTGCACAGTTGACGTCGAATTTGCCGCATTCGTGACAACCTGAATGGGGAGGGGGTTGGTTGCTGTCGTGCGGGCTGGGGTGCTGATCTAGGGGTGTGCCACACACTGCTACTGTTTCTGCCTGCTGCTTGACCAGCGGCAACTGACTTTTGAGGGGGGTTGTGTGGAGGTGTTTGTGATCATAAAAATGAAAACAGTGCGCTGCAAAACTCGAAAGCTATTTGCATTTGGCTCATAACTCTTTTGATTGCAAATAAAAAGCAGAGACGCTTTTTCGTTGTTATTGTTACTGTTACACTCGAAAAAACAATCGACGTGCATCGCTGTCCCATCGGCGACCTCATCTTGCATTTATAATTTTTGGAAATGCCTTTCTATACAATAGAAAATATTTCGATAAATAGAAAAACATACCATATTTTTGAGATTGTGTAATTTTCCTGTTAGAAAACGTTTTCTTATATCTAAAAATATTTCTTAAAACTAGACACATTTTCTAGTTTTCAGCGCAATTTACTACTTTTTCGGATTGTAACACTATAAAATAATGTTGATATTATAATTGAACAAGTAGAATAAACGAAGTGTAGTTAAGCATGTATATTACTCGGCTTAAGAGTTGTACTTGGCATCAAGAATATGTATTCTTTATTTTCGTATGGTTTTTTTCTGAGTGTAACTGGCCTGCTGCTGCTGCTGCTGCTCCTCCTCCTTCTAGTATAATAAAAAGGCCAGACGTGCGTCACACCCACGCCACGCCAGGAGTCCAGCTCAATACCCTCAACGAGCATCCTTCAAACCGGAGTTAGAGTGCTAGAGAGAGACAGATAGAGAGAAACAGAGAGAGAGAGAGAATGAGGCATATGCAAATGAAGTTTTGTTTTTATTGTTTGGGTGCCTCGAACACCAAGAATAACAACAACAACTGCAACTGCTGTGCATATTTGGAATACTGTCAACCGGCAGACACTTAATGGGTTTTTTCATCTGAAAAGGCAAGAGGTGAAGGGGCGGGGCAGGGGTTGCATTGGGGTAATGCGTACGTCACAGGGCCTCGAAATGGGCCTGTCATGGCTGAGCATGCGTAATGAAGCTTAAGTAGAACTGGTTATAAAAAACAACAACAAAAACAACAATAACAAAAAACAACATGAAAAGGTGCTTTTGTTATATCTCTTGTTATTATTGTTGTTGTTATTTTTCTTGTTTGCGGTAGCCTAACGAATTGCGGCAGGAGCTCGGCTTATGCCACCAAAAGCAAATGCTTTGTTTGCTGTGCAACGCGATGAGTCAAAGTGCCAAAGAACTACACTCAAAAACCACACACAGAAAATAACAAGTGCGCCCACATAATGAGAGAAGATCAGGCGAGAGAGATAATAGATATAGATGAGATAGAGGGGGAAGAACTGCAGTTTGTCATACACATTTATTACTAAAGTTGTGGCAAACTATGTAACAGGCAGAAGGCAGCATCTGAGTTACTATAAACTATATATATATATATGCCTGATCAACAGCCAAGTCGATTTAGACATGGGCTTCTATCTGTCTGTTTGAATAAGTCGATTAGAGGCGATCGTGTTTAATAAATGACAGAAACTAAAGATATTTTTACTTAAAGTTATTAAAACGTGTTGCGAGATACAACAAAAGAAGCCAGACTAGTTTGGATTAGAAAATCGCTTGTCGATTGAACCATACTGATAATATTTTCTGTTTAGCTCATGCTGGGAAACTCCCTCACAGATGTATTTTAAAATATGCCTCGAATTAATTTGCACTTGCTTTTCAATAAATTCTTCTTTGCAAAATACACTTAAATTGATTTATGTATGCTTCAGAAAAACAATTCGATTTGCATAAAATTAAATTATTTTTAAAGAAATTTTTAATTTATGCATTTATCCTGCAATTGGCATGTATCCCAGAATTTAATTGAATTTATGCATTTGATTTATGCTGCATATATTTTGTGTGCGAGTGTGTGTGTGTGTGTTTGTGTGTGTGTGTGCAAAGGTGTGCGAGTTAAGTGATTTTAAGCAGATGTGGGAAATTGTTTGGTTGGCCACAGAAAACAATACTTCTGCCAATAAAATCAACAAAAAAAGCTGGCAAGGCTGAGAGATGTGTTCAATTTGATGAATTGAATCTCTATCTTGCTTGTAGCTGACTATTTATATAATTTATATATTTATAAATTTTTGAATATTCGTATAATATATTTATATATATATATATATTATTTGAAGCTCAAAATAGAAACTGAAATACACTTTTTTATTTTACTTTTCTTTTAAAACACCTTTCATGTTGTTTGCTGCATATTGCATCACTTAACTTATGATTAATGGGCTACAGGGTATTTCACAGAACAACAACAACTACAGCACATGTGGGGTGGGGCAACAGGAGATGGAAACATGTTATCACTTACAGCTCAAAGAGCAGCAAATAAAAAAAATGCATAATGTGCAATGTGAAATGCGAGAAACTTAAACAACTTTTGCATGTCAGTCGCATATACCGATATTGATTTTCAACAAAGGACGCGACTCCTCGAGTCGACTCCTGGACTCCACTCCCCATTTTCACTACTCGCTCCTGCTTTTCCCGAGTGTCGTGTGAAAACTAACGACACTGCATATAACTGACTGAGGAGAAAGGTGGAATGTGGGAGGGGGGATGGGTGGAGCTGGATAGGGGTGTGTAATAAATGAACTGTGCATGCAAGAGAAATGGCAGTCCGCATGAGGAGTTGGGGGGGTTGTGGGCAACGACATGTTTCGCATAACCCAAGTCGGCAAAAGCGCGTTAACTGAAATGCCCAACGTCCTGGGAAATGCTAATGTGATGCAAGGGGAATGAAGAGAGGTGGTGGGGAGATGGGAAGATGGGGAGAGGTGTGTCTTGTTCAGCAGAAAACAGTTTAAGTTGCTTTCTATATTATTTCATTTTATTTTTTTTTTTTTGGGAAAGCAAAGCATTCGAAGAACTTTCTTCAAGTTTGGATTTTTATTTTATTTTTTTGCTCAGATAGTTTTTTTATTTTCTTTTTCTAGCTCAGATGTGAAGTTGATGTCCCAAATTTGTATTTCAGTGTTGATTTCTTATATTTATTTATTTATATATTTGTGATTTATTATTAGACGGGCAAATGTTTAATATTTTCTGATATCGATTGATATATTAAATAAAAACAAGAAGTATGCCAATTTATTTGGTTTCATATCACTTTTATCTTTTTCATGCATTGCACAATTTTTACTTTGCGTGTTTTTCTTTTCCTGATTGGACATTTTCAACGAATTCCCGCAAAAGTTGTGAATGTTTCATGTTGATTTCATATGCTGCGAAACATATTGAAATAGTGCAATAAAATAAATACAAAAGTAAGAAAAACTCATTTATCAAGTGTAGTTAATAAAAAAAAGATACCCTTTATTTAACAGCTGAGTTTTGCATTGATATATTAAATGAGAAATCAGTGGAAAGAGTTGACTAAAAGATACTCGTTAAACAGTAGCAAAAGCTACTAATGAGCTTATTTAAATTGATATTGATATTGATATTTATTTAACATTTTTAATAATGATATACATACAAGATGTAGAAACCAGACAACCCACACGACACTCTATAGGGTATTTACTTTATGGGCACATATGAATGTCAATATGTACATTGAAAATAAGTTTCTGTGGTCAGCAAAAAGATATAAAGGGAAAAACAGGAGTGTTCTGGTTGCGACAACTCGACGAGGAAACACCCTGGAAGCAGCTGTTAAGTAAATAGGATTGCTGATATCAGTTGCTAAGTCAATCAATCAAAATGAACATGATTTGCGCATTTTATAGGAGAATTTGTCATCCAATTTCGAAGTATTTACCGTGTTGGGGAAACAGCAACACATCAAAATGAAGTAAAACTTGATGTGCCTTTAATGCAAATTAAAAGTCTCTCCTCGATACTGCTATAGCTACTCGACTGTTCAAGAATATATATACGCCATACTTTATACATATACTTTTGCACAGCTATAGCATACCCTTATTGCTCACTTTGAATGAGTGCAGGGCGCATACAAATAAATGTCGATATCACATTTCAATATCAATTTTTCACATCTTCCCTTTGACGCACACACACCCTTTTACACACAAACACACACACACACGCTCGCACACACATACTCATTCATATGCACATCATTGCAGGCTGGCTATCAATCGGATCAGCCGGTGGGCGCCATAACCGCAGAGAAGCAACAGGCAGTGGGCACCCAGAAGAATGTGCAAGAAAGCTTTCGCCAATTCCAGGACATGGACTACAAAAACAATCAAAATATCAGTAAGTAGAGCACATCAATTCCAATACATACCTATGAGTCAGAGCTGATTTTTTTTGTGTCGCCACACATAATGGATTGAATGTGTGTCTGGTGCTTGGGTGTGTGCATCAAGCTATTGCTGATCTATAAATGGCACACAAGGCGATACTCGCTCGCTGACTCCCTCGCATGATGATCTTGATGAACACGTTCTGCCCATAAAATCATCTGTTAAACAAATGCGAAACATTGTGCTAAAACCTGACACATGAATTCCTTCCCTTCTTCTTCTTATTGTCTGGCATTGTGCGTCTAATGCTTGCGGCACGTGACAACACTCAGAAAAAACTGCCATCATTTTGGCACAAATGTGTGTTCAGCAAGTGAATTGCTAAATTTTATAGTTATAGCTTTCTAAGAAGCACAGTTTGCATTTCTTAATTTCAAAGTGGATTTTTCCATTTTCAGATTTCACACATCTGCAAATATTTATTTAGCTTATAAATTTATACAATTTAATTTGTATAAACTTGCTACTCTTAACTATTCTAATATATATACTGCTGATGCAGTAGAAAACACAGCCAAAGGGTAAAAATCTAGTTGAGGCCAAAGCCAAAATAGCGACACTTTCTAAATGGCCAGCAACTGAACTGACTAACTGACTCAATGATGGACTGACAGACTGACAGACGCACACATGGACAGACGGACAGACAAGCAGATGGACAGACGGATAGACAAACAGACTGATTGACTGCAGAAGGCCAGCAACAAACTGGCTGTTTATTATTCTTTTTCTACTTTTTCTTTTTCTACCTCAACCAAAAACTCAAGCAAAATGCCAGAAATTTTCACTGTTTCTGCTTTTGCTTCTCGCTGCGCTTCTCCCTTCTCTTCTCTTCTCTTCTCTGCTCTTCTCTCTTCTCCCTATTTTTTCCATGTGCACTTTCGTTGCAATTAAAACAAGTTAACTTGTCAACGTTTGTAGGCATTTCTTCTGTACACTGCTCTCTGAAAAGCCTGCTCTACTATTAATAAAAGCATTCAGCATTCTAAAAGAAAGTCTTCAACTTTAATCTGCTTACATTAAGCAGAAGAAAATTGTTCCGTTTAGTTTCATTTCAAGTTTAAATCAGGCACACCTAATCGATCAATACAATAGTTGATTTCTTTATAAACATTTTATTTGTTTAATGAATTCTAATTTGTAGTGTTATAAATAGTAATACAAGCATCCCTTTCTTTCTTATTCCTCTTAATCAATCGAGCTTTGTTAGTTAAAATATAATTTTCACTAGTCGAACAAGACTTAATTCACTTTATAAACGAAATTTCATTGATATTATGTGGTCTTTTCTTAGTCCTACCTTCAATGGTATTTAATTGTATGTTTCACTTATTTATAATAATTAATACACGTTAGAGTACTTAATATTCGGTGTGCTGCACTTAGGTGCACAAAAATGTGGTATTTTTTTATATTTTTTTCTTTTTCGACTAGTGCTGATCCTACCAATTACTTCATTAAAAGTCTCCTCGAGACTATCGCACATTCCATTTCTAACGACAACATTTGCCCAGTTGAGGAGTGAGACGGCGAAGGGAGAGGGGAAATTCGAGGGGTGGGGAGGGAAGGGAGCCGTGGAGCATTGGAGCATTGGAGCATTGGCAATGAAATGTGAGCTCATCGCGTGTATCTTTTACTTTGCCACTTCCATTCGCTTGGAAAATTGCCGCTTAAAGCGCGTGAAAATTGTCTGCTTCTTCTTCTGCTCAATACCCTGTGCATATTTGAACAAGTGGGGTATATTAAGCAAGATATATGATATATGTGTTGAAGGCATTTAGATTCTCGGTTTACTTAAAAATGTTTACTAACTGAACAATTAAAAATAAAGTTGCACATTGAAGGAAAAAATAAAAGTAGAATAAGTCTGTAATAATAATAAGAGTACAATATTTATGGCCAGGCTTTGGGAATCAGACAAAATATTGTTAAGCTTTAGTAGCTTAGTTATGGGAGCTAAAGAGTAAGACATAAGATAAAGAAAAGATAGGCAACTAAAAGGAGGAAAATTAAATTCATAAAGTAGAATTCCATCGAGAAAAGAGTTTCCATTATTATCGTTTAGGAGTGTCTCAGCTGCAATGCAAATCCGAATGGGAATTTAACTTGAATACTGAATTAATACAGACAAAAAAGGCTGCATAATTTCATTTCTGGCATGGATATTTGAATGGAAATTTTAGTTTAATATACATTATATAAAATACATTTAAGAATTTAAGAATTTAATGTAGAATTAATACAGTTGAAAAAGATTGCTTTACAATGAATATAATTCGCAGATCGGCGAAGGCATTTGAATGGAATTTTTCAAATTTTAATGTAGAATGAATCTAGTTAGATATAAATGATTCATTTAAACACCAAGTGCTAAGTAGCTGTTGGTCGAGCAGTGCCTGCCAATAGCAAGCAACATTTTTGCAAGCCGTTAGCGCGTGTTTGGTTGGTCAGCAGCAGCAGCGACAACAGCAGCAACAACAACAGCAGCAACAACAACAGCAGCAGCAGCAGCAACAACAACAGCAGCAGCAGCAGCAACAACTTCGTCGTCATTGCCACAAATGAAAGTGTGTCACTCAGCCTGGGAAATGGTTAACTGATATGACTCGCCAAATGTTGTTGCTGTTGTTGTTGTTGTTGTGGCTTTAAATGCGTAATGATGCAACAATTTTCTTATCACATTGTTGCCTGTTGTCCGCTGTCGGTTGTCGGTTGTCATCGATTAAGCGCTGAAAGTCAGCTTTGGCTTCTTCTTTCCTTTCCTTCGTATAAATTGACTACAGACTACTGAGTACTGTTATTATTATTGGCATTTGCGCAAGCGACATGTTTGTTTATTAACCGTTGTCTCAAATGTTTGCTCAATGTTCTTGTTGATGTTGTTGTTGCTGCTGCTGATTCAATTATTGTTTGTGCATGCAATTTTCAGGGCATTTGGCATGCTTTACTTAACGTGACTGCTAATCACTGCCGGTGGCTTAAGATAGATATACAGTTATTGCTCAGATTGCCAAGAGTATTATCTATAACGCAATTTTCACTGACTTCAAAACGATGCAGTTCAGCTGACTTCATGAATCATGCCACAAATGACTCATGCTATGAATATTGCTTGTAAATTTGCCTCCATTACTTATTGGGAATTTTACTCTTCTTTATTTTCTCTTATGCTTGTATGAGTAAACAACAAACATAAACTGTACTGTTGCTTACAAAATCTATAGACCTTATTTTGGCAAATAAAAAAAAAAAGCGAGGCACCAAGTGTAGAGAGACGATCTATAGATACTCAGAAGAGTAAGAAATGGATCCATAGTTAGATGGAAAAAGACTAAAGCCTGCCATTCCTTACCATAATTTAATCTCTTCTCATCTGGTTTTTTACGAATGGATCTTTTCTTTTAAACTAATTATTACTAACATACTAACCTTAATTTTAGAGGAGATTAGAGGAAAGCTTCCTTTGTATACACAATTTGGATATCTCCATTTCTTTAGACACACTTACAAAAACATAGAAATTTATAGTACGTATAAATGCACTGGATGACAATTTCCCATTAAAAGAACGCCAATAAGACACAATACTTTGCACGGCACTTATTACACTTTAGCATACGCAAACAGCAAGCAGCATACGCAATAAAAGCAACTCTCTTTTCTCTCTTTTCTCTCTCTTTTGATATTTCTGCGCCGCAACAGCAAACTGCAACCGATTCCAGCTGGCTCTCTCTCTCAGTCTGATTCGCTTTGCTTGCGCTCAGCAATTGGATAAAGTCTTTGATGCTGCTTTGCTTTGTTTTGCACTTGCAAGAACCAAGATTTCTTTACAGTCATATCACTGTTTTTTATTGCACTTGCTTTGTAATCAGCGGATATCATTTTTGTTCATTAGCTTATTAGTTAGATGAATTCTGATAAAACACAAAAATTATGCTCTTTATTAATAATCAATTTTTAAGTGCTTCTAGCACTTTTTAGTTATTAAAAATGCAAAGATCACTGAACAGAATAAGGGAGAGGGAAAGAGAGATTGAAAAATAATCAAACAGCAGCACCAACTTACGCAAGCAGTTTCTGTTGCTCTACACTGTTTTGTTTGGCAGCAAGAACAATTTACAGTTATTTCTACGCATTCGCTTTTACCCCTGAAGATCAGCTAATCGCTTTCGATGAGCTTATTAGTTAGATAAATTCCAATACGAATGCAATATTTACTCAATTCACACTTTTAAATAAAACATTAAATAAGTATTTGTGTATGCAAATAATAAAACACAGACATTTCAAGCAGTTTTTGCAAATGTCACAGCCTTGAATAAATCTTCATTTAATGGTTTTTATTTTATGGTAGTTGTTTCATAGACTTGTTGCACGCGTGCGAATTTTCGCCGCAGTTCAGTCAACTTGTCAATTTGAACTCGTTTTTGCATCTTTCAATGCCATTGTTAAGTACGTAATCTCGCCGATTAAACAGCACCAATATGCAACGCTAGAGTTTTTTATCGCTCGCATTGTTTTACGCGCGTTTCTTGTTGAGTGGATTATTAACCATGTCAGAATGGTTGTGAATTACTAATATTTATGAGATATTTATGTTATACAACTAGAGTATTTGATATTCGTTGCATCGATTAGAGTTCTTCTTGCTTTTTGTAATTTCTTTATGGATCCACGGACGGTTTCGCCACCTTTATTGCTAACACGTTGTTTACATTAAATGTTGCCCCTTTTACATTTGTTATTGTTGTCGCCATAAAAGCCATAAAAAAGCATACGCAGTTTTTATGGTTTATTGGTGTTGTTTTTGTTGTCAGTTGCAGGTGCCGACAAAAATATTCGCAAAAAAACGCAAGCAAAGCAAAAAAGTCGCAAGCATCAAAATGGCACGCACCAATAGATGGAGCCACCATCAGAAGCTAAATGTTAAGCAGCAACCGTTTAAACATAATGTTTATACTGCATATATATGTACATATATATTCATAAACATGATTTTTATGTCCGTCTCACAATTGAATCTTAAAAAAAGGCCAGCAGAGCAACAAATGTGAGCAGACAAGTTGGGTGCACCGACCGATAGATGGAACTAGAACGACCACCAATCAGAATATAAACTTGAATCTGAATCAGTTTAAACAGTTAACTATTGATATATATATATAACTGTATATATCCTACATATATTTAAGTATCTATTTAATATATATACTCTCACAATTGAAGAACTAAAATAGGCAAACAAAGCAAATCAGTCATAAGCATCAAAGTGCCGACCACCCATCGCCAGATGGAGCCACAGCAGACACCAATCAGACAACTGAATTAACTTAAGCACTCAATTGCTAACTCTTGATGTATATATTGGCTTTAAATGCATATACTCCACATATTATATATGAATCATTAAAATCGGTCAACATGGCAACAAGCTGAGTCCCATCCACCGACAGATGGAACGACTGCAGTCAGCAAGAATCAGAATCTGAATCAGAATCGGATGCAGACTCAGTTTAAACAGAATGTCAGACTTTTGGTGGCTAGCAAGTAATGAGAAAACACATTTCAATTTACATTTACACACATACATACACATGTATGTAAATTTATATGCATGTGTGTTGCACGATTGAATCATCAAGTTGGCGTTGTCAGACAACATGGCAACAACTTGAGATCATCCCATGAATTATTCAGTTTGTCCAATTTATTACTGGCTGCTACTGCTGCTGCTGCCTGTGCACTTGCCCCTTGGTGGGTGGTGGCAGTGGCAAATTGCAGCTGTTAGCCGTGACCGTTGCGTTTGCCGGCAAGCAGCAACAGCTACAAAGCCCTCAAGGGGCATAAAGTCATTAGTCTGCTCCAAATGCAACTGCAGCTGCAACTGCAACTACAACTGGAATTTCTCATGGCTTAAGTAAACAGTTAATTGTCCAATTGCGAAAAGGGAGAAAGATATACAGAGAGAGAGAGAGAGAGAGAGAGAGAGAGAGAGCGAGAGAGAGAGTGAGAGAAAGATTACATCAACATATAGAGACTAGAAATATATAATAATAAATAATAATAATCATAGAAATATACATAAAAATAAAGTCACTTTAAACAAACAATTGTTGTGAATAATATCGGTGGATAAACGTTGGCTTCTAGTCTCAATATCTGTTGGAAATAATGGAAATTTATAATGTTTCGGGATCAACATTGTGTTCTAATTAAAAAGTTAGTTATTAACTATGTTTGTACTGATTTATTAATTGTTGCTGTTTGCATTTTATATTTTTGCAATTTTTAGTGAGAATTTTGGTGACGCTCCACAGGTCGAGCATGGAAACGGAGCCGCTGTGCCGGTTGCCGCAGCCGCGGATCATCCGGATGGACACGGATCCGTCGAATACGTATTCGCCGCCATTCACCAAGTTGCATCGGTGCGACAAGAACAGCAGCTGCTGCTCCCACCTGGAGGTGTGGAGGGTGAAGAGCACGGCGATCGTCGAGCTGCCGTTCTTCGTGTCGCCGATGCATGGTCGCATCGGCCGCAACATGATGATCCCGTTCATCAATCACACCGAATGCCACTGCGCCAGTTCGACGCCTCAGCGCACGAAACGCAGCAACCTGTGCCAGTGCCCCAAGCACTTTACCAACTTTGGCCGCGAGCCCGACCAACCAATTCGGGGCACATTCGACCCAGTTGCCACAAGTTGCCGCTGCGATTGCCACCTCAACGATTCGACGTGTCAGCGCATGAAGAACGGCGCCGAGGGATTCGGTATCGACGAGCTCAGGTTCGTCTCTAAATCAAGTTTTAGGCACTTTTCATTTATTATTCTAATATTATAGTTTTAAATCAATCAATTAATTTGAATTATTATATTAAAATTGATTTTCTAAAAAAAAAAACACTTTCATAAAAATAAAAATATAGTTTTAAGTGTTTTTATGTGTTTCTTTGTGCAACATTAACTCGTCTTGTCTGCCACATTTGCAGGTGCATTCGTAACCAGGAGTGCAGTCCGCCCATTTGCACCTATGGCGCCTTTATCCTTGCCTCAGGACGCTGTCCGCGTGCGCCGCCTCGCCCCTTGGGATTTGGCTAAAGCTCCACTATGGTTGCATGGATGGAGGGAGACCTGCCTGCTGCCGTTGAATACAATCCAGAACTGTGTAAGCCCTTAAGTAATTACTACACACACACACAGCCACATGTACTACCTGCAAGAGAGGAGCATCTTCAACCACTGTGCGGCACAGTGGATACGCTGTTGACGTACTTAGAAGAAGCCAATCAATTATCAAACACAAATTACAGCAACAATTTTTCTTAACTTATGCTTAAGCTGACTTGCCTTGGGTAAACAAAATATTCTCGGAATATATATTTAAAAATATTTAGGTCACAAAAGCAAAAGAAATCATTGCTTTTTCTTATCTTAAAAATGATTTATTTGTACTTACTCTATCCACTCGCTATTCGTGGATAGTTCGCCAGACAAACTTCAATCCATAAATTCATTTTTATTCATTAACACATCCTTTTCCTTTCAACTTTGCAAAGCATTTAAGGAGACTTATCTATATGTATATATATGTTCTTGATCAACATCAGATCATATATTTTTAGTTTCTTTATAGCTTAAATGCAATCAAGATGCAACTTTAGATATATCTGTATTTTGGCTGCAGGCAGTACGTAGCTTGAAAATAAACGGATCGAACCATATCATATAGCTGCCGTAGGAACAATCGGTCGAAGTTTGAGTAGGTCGAACTCAAGAAAGCAAAGGTTTATCTTTGACCCGCAGAAGATTATATATCCATGTAGACCGGACTTAATCGGCTGATAGCCAAATTTTCCACAAATGCGAATTATTAGAAATATATTTGTGCAAAACGAAGATTACTAAAAAGAAATATAAAGTGTATAAAAATATAGTATTTCAAACACGGCACAAAAATTGATATTTTAGCAGCTTAACTCTGGTCTACAAGGGTATTTAATATTCGTCCTAAGATAACCATTTATTCATTTTTTCTTTTTGTAAACTCAGTTTTTAAAGACTTTAACGCCTACCTAATATTATATTGAAATCATAAGTCTCAATCAACAATAATATTCATTTAAACTATTTTACTAAATAGTATTGCTAAACTGGAGAAAGTGTTAAGAGTTAAATAGATCGAATAACTTTGGCAAACAAACTTAAATTTGCAAAAACTTTACTTAAATGCTTAACAAAACGTTGCTTTCCGTTTGAGGACAGAGCTTAACGTTGCAAATAAACTATTTGAATAAATAGTATTGCTAAACTTTAGCAACATATTCGAATATTTGGCAAACAAACTTAAATTGTGCAACAACTTTACTTTAGAAAACGTTCCTTCCCCAATTGAGGGCAGAGTGTAACGTTTAAGTTCGCATTTTGTATATTTAATTAAAAAAAAAACATATATAATCTACATCTATATATATATATATATATCTACACATATCTATAATATAAACTTAGACCACAGAACTGTGAGGCGAACCTTTTTTGAAATCGACAACAAAAGAAAAAAGTATTCAAACTAACATTCAATTGTCTTAGTTTTAGTTTTAAGAAACCTATTTTATACCAATACATATATATATATATATAAATAATCTATATGTAATCTATATATAATCTATATATGAACGAAAGGATACGAATAAACGACACAGCTAGTCAAGCGAATGCAGACGAGTCTATTTGATTAACCACAGTGCTGTCCAGCTGATTAGAAACATTGTGCCAAAGACGACAAGGCGTACATCGATCAGTTGGCGTTGCCAGATGGTCAGCTGCCTGGCGTTGCCAGACAGATGCTGGGCACCCTTATGCCTGATGACATACTCCAACCAATACCCAGTCAAATTGCTGGCACTCAAAGGACGATCCCTATAAAGCTGTGAATCTACTTGAATCCTTTGCTTAAATTGCTCTTCTTTGAGCAGCCTTTGAATAGTTGCCAGCAGCTCGAGTGGAGTCAGTGCATCCATGTCCAGGCTTAAGCCCCAGCCCCTGGCTTGCATTTTGAGCAAATTGGCTCGCTGATCGCCGCGCAGTGGCAATCCCAGCAGGGGTATTCCATAGTACAGCGCCTCACTCAGACTACCCTTGCCGCCATGCGTGATGAGCAGACGGGTGCAGGGATGGGCCAAGAGCTGCGCCTGTGGCCACCAATTGGACAGTCTTATATGCCTGTTGGCCAAGCTAATCTCAGTGGCATTGTCGCCATCATAAGTCCAGCAAATATCATAATCCTCCAGCTGAGCAAATGCCTCCACAAAGATGCGCTCCAGTTGCGGCTGAGCCGAGCGCCAACTGAAACGTGTCCCGAGACTAAAGATGATAACGGAACGAGTCTGATTCAATGCCAAATTGGAGTTGTCAGTCGATCTCGATTGCTCCATCACAATGCCGCCTATGTCCAGCATGCTGGGCAACAGTGGAGCAATGGGTCCCTCGCTGATCATGTGGTGATTGTTCAGCGCCAGCGAGACTCGAAGACGCATCTCCTCAAAGCTGGGATAAGGAGGCGTGGCAAAGTGCGTGCTGCCACAAAATGCAAATATTCATTAATTGAAAACTAAAGCAGCATTTGGAGTAGCTCTCAAATTGGTAAGCCCATTAAAAGAGTTCTCATCTCGAGATCTCATTTTAATTTAATCGTAGCTCTTCTCTTCTCTTCTATGTTTTACTTCTCGATCATAAATTCAAATTTGAATATTTTATTTATAGTTCAATTTAATCTATTTTTTACTTTTTATATTATTCTGTTAATTATTTGAGAAATAGATCCTTGCCTCACCTATAAATCCGCTGCATGACGCGCCTGGCCAGCAGCTCCGCTGACTTCTCCCACACTCCGAATACCCAGCCCTCGAATCCCGTTCTCTGACGACTGTCGTAGGGTTGAGGGACATACCAACGCTCCTCGGGATTGACCAGCAGGCTGTGCACAAAGCCAATGGGCTGCTGGGTGCTGATAATGGCGACGGGGCACGCAAAGTGGGCTGCCACGCCCAGCAGATGATCATTGAAATGATAGCCAAGCAGCAGCAGATCATACGGCGTTGTGGGCGTGGCATGCATAAAGTTCAGCCAGGCGGATTGCAAGAGCAACTCCCCCGATTGCTCCAGAAGAGAGAGCGTTCTCTGCAGGCGACCCACAAAGTTGGCATTGTAATCAGTTATCTGCTGCTCCTTTGGCTGCCAATCCACCAGAAAGTGTGTAATATTCTCAGAGAGCCAATCATCCTCGAGGGGTAAGCTGGTGACGAGAGTCAACTGGTGTCCACGCTGGAGAAGCACACGTGCCACAGACAAATGGACGAGCAGCTGGGAGCGATGCACATCCACAAATACACCCAGAATATGACTGCCTCCGATTTGTGCAACAGCCCAAGCAGTGAGTAGCAAGACGAGTGTCAAACCGAGTGCCCAGTTCATAACTGAACCCAAAAAAAAGACAATTGACGCTGTTTGGATATGCAGGCAACCAATACAATCCATCAACTGCTGATAACATGCCCCGCAATTTGGTTATGCAACAAAGCTGAAAGCGAACTAATTGAATTTCTAGAATTACCCTTATAATAAAAAATCATATCGCTTAATGAGTAATTGTTTTGTTTTGTTTTGCTTTGCTTTTCTTCTTTCTTTGAGTGCACATTTAAAAAGCGACTATTTCTGTACGCGGTACTCCCATTGGAAATGGACAAAGGGTATTATGGATCTGTGCACAAGTATGTAACAAGCAGCAGAGAGCAATTTCGAGCCCATAAGGTATGCTTGAACAACTAGGCGATCTCTGAGACTATAACAAAGTTTCTTTAATTTTATTAATAACTCCGCTCGTTGTATATCTATATCAGATATTGTTATATAATGTACCCAGATATATTATTGATCAACTCTTCAACGATTGAATGACATAGGAAATGTGTCAGAAAAATGTATTTTCAAGTTTTAATGCAGAATTGAAATAGATAAACGAAACATGTATATTCACTTTTAGTGCAGAATTATAATAGATAAATAAAAACCTGCCTACATATTAAGCAGATGTGTTTAGTATAGCTTCTAGTCGAGGTCTCTCGACTAGCGCATTCTAACTTTATGTGCTAAGTATTTTTATAATAAAAAGACAGTCAGTATCCATATGCCTTATGGATTTTTAGACTTATTTTTTGGGCAGCTTTGAGAAGAAGTCCTCGTGAAATTCTTTCAAGATCAGCTTAAACTTATCGGCCTGCTGGGCCAGCAGGATCTTGTGCGCCTCGTCCTCGTTCTCGAGCAATTCATCCGCTTCGTGGAGCGTCTGCAGATAGTGCAGCCAGTTGGGCTCCAGTTCGAGAACCTGCTGGTGGGTCTGCTCTGCAATTGTCACACGATATTTGTGGAGGAGCACAAACAGCTCCAGCATGGGCGTGAATCTCATCTGCTTCAGGGGCACGGCGCGAACGAGGCGCTCAAACAGCTGATGGGCAACGATGGACTCGCTGTGGGTTCGAGGCACTCGCATCACCTTCTGCTCATTGCGTGACATATAGCGATAGACAGCTGTAGAGGTGAGATGTGGATTATTTTTTAGTAAGAAAATCGATTTATGTTATGAATATATATCAGAAGCCACTTACATTGAATTAGGTATGTAGCATGATTGAGCAGCAGTTTGATGTTCAGCGCCTGCCACTTCTCGATCCAGTCGAGCAGGGTGCTCTTGATGGGATTCTGATTGATGAGCACAAAGTGCACATGGGCAATGGCATCCACAAAGGATATATCATCGGCCAGCGAGCTATAATGCTCGATGCCGCCCTCAAAGACCCCGGCAGTCTTGGCGCTCGCGAGAAGGCGCTGAGTGAAAGCCTCCTCGGTCATCTCCCAGAGTGCCCGGTGCTGCTGCCAGTGGGCAATGTAGTCGCCAATATGTTGCTGCTGCCCCGCAATCTCTGCCTCAATGCGACGCACCAGCTCCGAGCATTCGGCATCATCGCGAAAGGCTCTCGCAAAATTCGGGCGTCTCTGCTCCCGGGGCAGCTTCAGCTTCTGCCCCAAACGTGGAAACTGATCCACCAGGCTCTGCACGCGATCAACAATCCCACGCAGCACTCCGCCAATTGTTGGCATATCGGGCAAAAGGACTATCTGCGCCTCCTTCACATCGGACTCCATCACCAGAATGGGTGCGGGCGACATGTCCTCCTCGCAGTGCAACGCCTCCAGCAGCAACTCCAGCGAGCTGCGCGCACAGCTCATAAAAGCACTCGCCAGCATATCATCAAAGACATTCACATATTGATGCCATTCCCTCGGCAGCTGCAACAATTGAGACTTGAGTTGCAGCTTTCTGTACTCTGATTGACATATTGAAAATATAGTTTGAGACTTAAAACAAATACAAGTTGCCGATAAGCAAATGGTTAAGTGATGCTTCCACTGGGAAGATTGTTAATCGAAAATCGATCCAAACAAATATCTCCCGCAACTTTGAAGCTAGTCATCAAGGCTTCATATTTTGGTTCTTGAGAATATATTATTTCGAAACCCTTACAGCGAAAGCCTTGAAGCTTCCACGATATACTCGCCTGTGCTCCCAATAAACAAGAAGTCGACTGGGCAGCTACGAAATTGATAAAATCTACAATCGATAATCAATAAACTCAAATATCTCCCACAATTTGAATGCTAGTCTCCAAATTTGGAAGGTATATTACCAGTCAAACTACAATCAGAGTATTTCTTAGTCGGTTACACTCGATTAGAATGTTTTCAGTTGTGTTCGACTGAAATTTCTACGCGCTCAGATAAAGATTACTCACCTCATCCTTGACGTCGTCAAACTCCTCCGACACGGCCAGCATCAGCTCGACGATGGTGTTGTAGTACTTGCGTAAGGCACTGTTGCCCCGATTGAGTCCACTGCTGAGCTGTTGTTCAAACACGGAAATCTCAACGGCGCCACTAAAATTCAGACGCAACATGGACGTGTCGCAGATGCGTTCGCAGCAGCGAACAATTTGCCTGTTCGCACGCTTGTAGATCTGCATGACTTGGCGCAGTTGGTCCACATACCACACGCAATCCTCCAGCCACTGGGCATAGCCGGCATTGGTGTCGCCATCACCAGCAACGGAGCCAAAGCTCAGCTTAAAAATGCCCGGCGCCAGCTGACGATCACAGGCCTGAATCAGGGGCCGGAACAGCTTCCTCTCCCTGGCAGTCAGTCGCAACATGAGGCGATTGTAGTCCAGGCACAGCTGCGACACACTGCAATAAACCGATCGAAGCTGCTCCTGTCGCTCGTAGATCTTCCGCACTGCCACCGGCAACGCAAAGGCCAATCTCTCAAAGTGCTCGGCCTGCTGGCAAATGTCCAAGATGCCAACATCTATGTTGCACTGCAGCCACGATTTGCGCAGCAGCAAATAACGCTCCAGTTTCTGGCCAAGATGCGGGCCACAAGTGGCATACAATTGTTGCCACTGCTCGTGGGAGACTTGCATCTGGCGCTCGAATTGTTCGCGCAGCAGCTCAAACTTCTCCAGCACTTGGGCGGTCTGCGGCACCGCTGGCAACCAGGAGGAGCTGCTCTGAGCCAAGCGATTGCGTAGCCAGCGCAAACGTTCCAAGTTGATGCGATAGCCGAGCGTGTGTGCAACATGCTGCGGCAACCACGATTGATGCCGCTGCGAGCGTTGTTGCAGCAACAATTGCCGCATTGTCGCATCCATATCCTCGCTGAACAGTTGCCACACGCGAGTAACTTGCCGCAAGTAGCACTTGCGCAGTGTGGCATGATACGAGTAGTACAGCATGACATTCAATGCCTCCAGTGACTCCTCCACGTTGCACACACAGCGAAACACGTTGGCAATCAGTCGCTGCTGTGTCTCCTCCATGCGTTGCACGCTCCTCCGATAACTGGACACCTTTTCATACCACTCGGCACGGTGCACGTTGAGCATGAGGTGCTTGGAGCCATTGCAGCGCAGTTGATTGAGTGCAACGAGAAACTGCTGCTCCACACGCCCCGCAATCTTCTCAAGCTGCTCGCCACTGGTGCCACTAAACTGGGTCCTCTCCAGCTTCTCGTTCTCATCCAGGCGGCCAAACACAATCATTGCCTCGCATATATCCATTAGATCGCCGAGACGCTCCATGAACGCGTCGATCTGATTGAATATGTTGCCCAGTTGGAGTTGCCAGCCAATGTTCTGCTGCAAGCGATGCACGTGCTCCTTGTAGGCCATGCAACACTCCAGCGACAGGTTGCACATCTTGATGCCCAAGCGTGGACGACCCGTCAATATAATATCCAAGTCTATCTGCTCTGTGCAGTATTTGATTATCTGATTGCTCAGATTGCGAAAGAGTATCGTAATCCGATCACTGCTCGCATAATGCTCCGAGTGTGTCCAGATGAAGCGCATCAGTTGTATAATGTGTGGCAGCAGTTGCGACACTGCGGCCGGCGTGGCTGCCACATCGATTTTGGCACATGGCTCCACGAGCAGATGCAGAAACTTTATGTTCGACATGGCCAAGAGTTGCTCCTGCTGGCCAGCCTCGAGCAGCTCCCCAATTTGGGTCATGTGCACAGATTGCCATTGGCGCAGCACCTTAAAGACACGCTGCACGTCAAACTGGGCCAGCTGCGAGTTCATGCCCTGCAGCACCTCCACTACAAGTATGAAACAACATAAATAATAATTTTAGAATTGACATATGATTATCTAAAATATGCCTGTTGGGCAAAGTAAAGTGAAATATTTATGGGAGAAGAAAGTCCTCTTCAGGGATCACATTGCTCACACTTTTAATAGAGTAAATTTCTATTGAGAATAAACTATATAAAAGTGATTATAAATCTGCCTTAGAATCATTCCAGCATTGACTTGCATGGAAAAGCGAGGATTGGACCTACAGAAGATAGAATCGAGAATTGTATAACAAATGCAATTGAGTATTTTGAAATAACTCTCGAAATACTGACTGTAACTTTCAAATTGTAAGAGAAATGTGGCTCCATCGATTTGCGATCATCGATTCTCATCGATTTCCTAGCCTCCTAGTAAATGTAGCAAAGGCAAGTAAATGTGCCAAGTTGCAAAGAAATAAATTAAAGCTTTATAAATGAAATCTTAAAATGGTTTAAAAATGATGCTCACAACGATATTCCCAGAACTCGAACTCATCGTTGACTGTGGCCAGTTCGTGGGGCACCATCAGCGTGCGATCGCCGAGCACCGTGCGAATCTGCGTGGTCCAGTAGACTGCAATGCTCTCTAGATTCTTAAACAATGGCCTGTCGCAGACAATCGGCTTGCCGCCAATCTGATGCAGCACAAAGGGGACATACAGCGACGAGATGCCGCCAATCTTGGCGTTCATGGCAAACATAAAGGCCAACAGCCTGTCCAGACTGGCACAGAAGCGTGAGCGAACTGTTGGATTCCAGTCGCTGTAGTTGCGAAAGATGGGCGCATAGAAACGCTCCAGCAGACACATGAGACTAGCGTCCACATCGCTGTGAATACTCCCAAAATGAATCTCGTCGTGGAACCCATCAACTGTGAAGATCTCATTCGGTTCGCCGCGCAGAAAATAGCTAATGTCATCCACGTGATCCGTGGGAAAGCCCAGACAAGCACTGAGCTTGTTTCCCTCATACCAAATGCTTAGCAACGGTTCATTGACCTCCAGCAGCCAACGACGTATCATATCCAGCGGTTCCTCACGCCAATCCTGTTGTGTGAGTGCGTAGAGCAGCGTCATCCGTTGTATATACTCAACCAATTGATTGAGCTCTTCATCTGTGTACGTGGGACGCGGCGTTGGCGGACGCACTTCCTCCGGCTTAATCTCAACTTTGCGCTCTGTTTCGGAAAACTTTATTAATGCAAAAATGTGAAAGTTTTTTTGCAAATTCTCACCCTCGTCATCGGATAATTCCGAGTCGGTTAGTCGTTCATCTTCCACAGCGCTCGAGGATGTCATTTTGCACTTTTCCCAGCAGGACACACAAAATTAAACAATACATTGTTCCTATGGTAGCTGAAGCGCGTATTGAAAAAGCCGTTAAGTCAGCTGATAAAGTTAACAATGCTTAACAACACTTAAAACTCGAAAGATGGCAGCTATCGATATATCGAGTAAGCATATTGTTGGCAAATCGGATGAGTTCGTTTGAGCGATAGCAGATATCGATATCGAGTAATTATTGCACGCATATCGACGCCAAAGTCAAATTCAAGCGCAACGTTGTTTTGCTCGTATTAAATAAAATAGAGATAAAAGATATAGCAAAGTTAAAAAAAAGATGAGCACTGAAGCAATGGAGCACGTTTGCTCTTCGGCCAATAAACTGTTCCCCGAGCTGAATATGCGTCTCAGTGACCTAACGCATCCAACGGAAGCATTTCTCACCCGTACTTTTGTGCATTATTTGCGAGCATTTGGCTTTCGCGTGGAGCCGCCCTACAATATTGAATCGAAGGATACGTCGCGGGAGAAGCGCCAATTCCTGAGCAAACTGTGCCGTCTAGTGGAGCGCATACTGCAAATCTCGTTTCCCGGCAAACCCTTCACCTACATTGACATCTTCGAGCCAAGTCTGTAAATTACTTTTGATTGAATTGATTAATAATAATGTGTTTATGCAGCTGTTCGAAAGACAAGAAATACGCTGGACGTGCTCTTCAATTACTATTGTTTCTACAAAATGCACAAGAAGAAGATTGTCACACCGGTTGTGGAGAAGCACAAGGAACATCACACGCTAACCTCAACACTTGGCGCCAAGCAAAAGGAATTGGGGAAGAACCAACAGGATGCGGCCCAATGGAAGATAAATAAAGCCAAGTCTGAGGCAAACATTGAACAACTGCGCGAGGAGCTGCCAAAGGCACTGGCCGAGCTACAGGCGCAGTCAAAGCTGCTCGAGCAGAAAGAAGCAGAAGCCAAATTGCAGGAGCAGCAGCTGCAGGAAATTACAGGCCAAGTGAATCAGCTCAAGCAGCTGGTCAGCGATGTGCCCAATGTTAAAGAGTAATTAAATATATTCTATAATATACATAAATATATATTACAACTGTTAACAGGCAAACGGCACAAATTGCTGCACGCATTGATTGCTTCAAGGTGGAAATTGCCAAGCAGGAGGAACAACACAAGGAGCGACGCATGGAAATCGAGACGAATCAGTTGCTCAACGATGAAATCGACAAGCTCTTTACCATACTTCCGCCAGAGGCACTGAGTGCCTACAAGAAGTGCCTCAAAGAGAAGGAGCAGCTGGAAAAGGAGCATCTCTCGCTGGAGACCACAAATCAAGGTCTCCTCACCAACGAACAGGAACAGCAACAACAACTTCAGCAGCGTGAAAACGAAGTGAAACAATTGAAACTCAACTGCGAACATGAAGCACAGGCAGCAAAACAAAAAATCGCCGACCAAGAAGCTGAAATTGTCCAACAAGCTGCTCGAGTGGAGCAACTGGAGCAGAGCAATAATAATTTGCTGGAGCAGCTGGAGGCGGAGCAGTGTACGGCTGAGCATGTGAAGAGCTTCGTTGTGAAATTGGATGATAAAAACATACGCGATATTTAAGTTCTTAATATATTTTCATTTGATTATTTCTAATTCGCGGTCTCTGCTATTTTTTGTGGTTATGTATCCATTTTCTTGCTCTCCAAGTGTGCCTTCAGCTGTTGACTGAAATCATCCTCGACATTATCATCGTCCCAGTTGTCCTCCCACACATTGGGCTCCTCCACATCGTCGGCCACACGAAAATCTGCGATTGCAATAAATTTAATTTCGCTTTTGCCAAAAACAACAAATTTCTTCACCTTCAGCGGGAAACTCTTCGAACTCATCGTCTTCCTCCAGCAGACCCAAGTCTTCACTCTTCTGATTCGTCTCCTCCTTATCCTTATCCTTTTCCTTATCGGCCGAAGACATTATTATTTTTCTTGTGTGTCTGGTCTTTAATTGTTAAACAATTTTCTTGCTCAATTTGACGCCGAAACGAAATGATGCCGAGTCATTTGTCTAGTGATGAGCAACTAGGCTTATCGATATATCGATAGCGTAATGTGAGACGATTGTTGGTATGCAAGGCGCTGCCACATCGACGTCAGGAAAGTTGACGCGCTCTTTGCTTTTTCAAATATGCATTTATTAATTTTTTTTTGTTTTTTTTTATAACATTTTGACTTGTGGCTATTTGACTTTCAAGCTAATAGGGTTATTGAGCAGTTTGAAATGTACGTAACGTTAACATTTATAATAAATAGTTTTGCTGTATGCTTTTGATTCATTGCATGTTTTTGGTTTTTTTTCTTGTTTGTTTTTTCTTTCGATTCGTTTTCTTTTGTTTGCTGGGCTATTATTTTTTTGTCCAGTTGGATTTTTTTGCTTGCCAAAACTGTTGATTTTTTTGTTGTACGCTTATTGTAAAAATTTTGTATGCCAAAATATATCTACATGTGTATTATATAGAATTTTTGTTTCTGTTTAAATATGCTACTTTTATAAAGGAATAAAACACCATACATTTGATTAATTTATACCATATTTGAACTTATTGTTCGATTTGTGTTTTTCTTTGTTTTACTTCATTATGGTTTACTTTTGTGTGTGTGTGTGTTTTTTTTATTTTATTTTTTATTAATGGGCTTTCTCAATCTTTGTTTATTTTATTTCTGCTCTATACATTATTCATCACAGACGCACAACGCACAAATAAAAAAAATGCAATGCAATTATTATCATCATTTAACAATTTGTTTTCAAGCTCCATTTTGCTTAACTTTGACGCCGACCTCTTTAGAAAATGCCATTGTCCAACTGATTACAATATTTTTTTTCAGGTTAACATATATAATTCACATTTTTATAATACTAATTAGTGCTGCTCTTTCCAAAAGTTTAATAAATAATATAACTTTTTTGTGGTTTTTCTTTCTTTTTTGCTTTTGTTTTTGTTGCAGAGTTGGGTGCTGTAATTTGATTAATTTGATTATTTAAAAAGTGCATGCCGCGTCCCCTTTTCCCCTTTTAAGTTGCACGGCCCTAGTGTATGGGTGTGTGTGTATATATATACATATATAAATATATATATATATATGTATTTATGTATATAGTGGTATGTGTGTATTATTACATAGTATATGAAAGCTTTCTAGAAAAAACAGTTTATCACATATAGAGAGGAAGTGTTAAATATGTTTGTTTTCTGTTCTAGCATTTTGCGTTGGTTGTGTCTATTTTTTTCCTTTTTTGATTTGATATTTTTGTTTCGACTTTAAGTTGAATAAAACTACAAACATGCATGGTATGTATATACTATTGGTAAACTAAATTATACAAAAAAAAGAAGAAAACAGCTTAGCCTCATAAAATGCATATAGTAGTAGTAGTAAATAACAGACATACATATTCATCATCATCATCATCATCATCATCATCTTCTTCATCATCTTCAACGTCATCATTATGTCCATTTAATACACATTTGCAAGTTTTTTTCAAGACGAAGAGCACCAATAAAGTTACGCTTGAGCTTAAGCAAAAAAAAGATAAAAAGATATATATGTACACATCATATATATATCTATGTTGGGGTAAAACAAGTTGCATTAATAAATATGGACAAATAATATGACAAAGAATTATTTTAACAGGCTACAATACAGTTACAATACGGTTTAAGTTCTAGCACACATAGTAAAGAGTTCTCTCTCTCTCTTTCTCGCTCTCTTCTCACCTCTCGCCACTTGCTACTTCACTCAGCACTCGTTACTCGTTGCTATGTGCGCAGAGAGACTTCTGTAAATAGTTGAGAGTTTGTTGGTTGTGTTTTGTTTTGTTTTGTGTGTGTTTTTGTCTCTTCATTTTTTTTAAAACGCTAAGCGTTCTCTAACGGTTTTTGTTTCGCGCTTACAAACTACATAAATACACATCGAACATCAAAAATATTTTTATATATATACATATATATATGCATAATAGTAATAATAAAGGATTAATGCAAGTCATGCATGTGCTAAAAGTCGCTCACAGCAAATGCAGCGAGTAAAATACACTCGCTCTCGCTCTCTTTCTCTCGCCGCGCATTTTACTCGCCACGCTTATGCAGTGCGAGCTTTACAAGCTACAAGACTATACATCTATATATATATATATATGTATATATATAAGTAATAATTACAAACAACAAATTACTAGAGGAAACTGTTTTTTGTTTGTTTTTTGAAGAAAACTGCTTTTTACTCGCGTCTTGTACGTTTTGGACGAGTGGCTGCCAGCGTCGAGCTATCGCCACTGGATGCTGAGGATGCACCACTCGCTGCAGCATTCGCTGCATTCCCTCCACCACCACCGGCACCAATGCCCTCCGCTGAGGATATGGCCGTTATGGTTGCCGAAATGGTCGCCGGCTGTCGATTGTCTGCCACGCCGCGCACCTTGCGCGATGCCACCGATTGGGCGGTCACCTGCAGCGAGATGGCGTGCGTATTGAGCTTCTCTGCCAGCAGCAGATCCTTGAGACCCTTCATCTTCTGGCTGTAGAGTGTGATCACTGGGCGCTTTAGCATTATCTCGAACGGATCGTAATCATCGACAAGTGGTGCAAGTGGAGCCTGCTCAACGAGGGCGTTGCTCTTGTTGCTGCTCTCCTCCAATTTAGCTTCTTTGTGCTGCGCTTTTTGCTGCTGCGTTTCATTAGCCTCACTCGGCGACAACTGCGTCAAAGTGTTGCTGCTGCCCCCATTGCTTGTTGTTGTTGATGTTTTAGCCTCCTTATCAGTGTTGTTGCTGTTGCTGCAGTTGTTGTTGTTGTTGTGCGTTGCTTCGCTGGACGTGGTTTGCTCGGCGGCGACAACAGCTGCCGTCTGCTGCTTTTGATCGGCAAATGGCTGACCACCGCCCTGCAGCAGAAAATCGGGATTTAAAATCTTCTCGCCACAAGCTGCGGTTAAATCGGCCAATGTTGTGGGTAGCTCCGATTTGGGCTTCTGTCACCAAACAAGAAGGAATACAATTAATAGTTAATTACAAATTGTAAATAAAATAAAATAAATCAAATAAATCTGGTAAATATTTTTTGTTTCTGAATATGAACCCCAGAGATGGTCATTTCTAATGATTGATTATAAAGGGATAAGTGTCTTTTCAGGATTGGCTAAAACGGTTCTCATTCATATTTAACTATGATAATTCAATATCAATATTGATAAGCAAGAGCTGAAGAGACTGCTGCTAAGCATCTTTTGGATATCCAAGGAATCATTCCTATTATTATATAATCTGTTGTCTAAATGCACAATTACCATATTTCAGCACTCATCTAAATAACTACAATAACAAAATAATAATAGATACATATACGCAGGCTGCATGTATATATATATATATTTATATATAACTATATATAGATGCATATAGAACAGCCAAAGGCAGCCCATACATTGGAAAATTCGCATAGAAAACTCAATTAAAAGTTGACCTACATAAATTTCGAGTCAAAGGAGGACCAAAGTAGGTCAATCAGCCAGCCCAACTTTTATTACGCACCTCATCTTTTTTGACAACCGAATTGTTGTTGTTGTTGTTGCCCTCCAAATGCAGCAAAGCCTCTGCAGTTGCCGCAGCTGCTGCCACAGCAGCCGCTGCCTTTTTAGCCTCCAAAGCGGCGGCCTGTTCGGCCTCCAAGTCCTCGGGCAGCTTGATGACCACCTGTGAGCGTATATCGTAATCAAACTTGGTTATGTTGGTGACCAGTGGTTTGGCCCAGCCAATGTGGAGAATGGGCGTCAAACTGTCCTCCTCCCACTGACAGATGCCGTCGTAGAAACGCAACAGATTGGCAAACACCTCCGAGTCCCGAATAATGCTGCGTGCCGAATGGCCCGAGCTCTCCGTCTTCATCACGTATGGGATGAGCTCGTTGGCAATGTCGAGCAGCTCCTTGTAGATCTCCTCGTCATCACGACACTGATACGTGTACAGCCGGATGACATCGGCTGCATTGGCCCAGGCGGCGAATGCCTCGCGATACTTCAACAGGCGATTGTAGTAGTTGCCCTGAAAGATGTGCGGATACACATGATGATTGTGATAGTGGGTTCGCGACGATTCGATGGCCTCGCGGAATAGTTGTTCGCAGCCAATGCTGCGATGCGTCCGGTTGATCTCCTCCAGTTCGCCGAGCAGACCCAGTGCCATGGGGTATCGCTTGAGGTGACCCAGATCGTAGAGTAACCATAGCAATTGTTGCTGCAACTCGGCAACCTCAACGCAATCGCTATTCGCACTCAGCGAAATGTTGAGTGCCACACAAATCGCAGCGACTTCCATGCCACGTTCACAGACCACAGCGAGTCCACCCAGGTAGAGCCACGAGCCGGATTCGATGCCGGCGCCAATGTCCTGGCCACGTTTATCCTCGCTACCCTTGCCGTGCCAGGTCACCTCGATGCTCTCCACATGCTTCTGGCCAAACACCACCCAGGCATGATCCTCGGAGATGGCCAGACGCACATCCCTATAGCCCAACAGCTGACAACCGGCGGTTGTGGCGAGTGCCACACCAAAGCAATCCAACTTGTTGCCCGACAAATAGCTGTAGAGATTCTGCAGATGTGCTCGATCCTTGTAGCTGCTGCGTATCAGCGAATTCCAAATCACATCCGACACCTTCTTGATGATGTCCCGTGTCGCCTGGCGATGCGGCTTTGGCTTCTCCACCACCGACAATATGTTCTGGAACTTTTTGTAGAGACCCGCAATCAGCTCGTGTGTCACAACCGGAAAGGGGACGCTGTTGCCCATGATGACGTCACTGCTGCCACCTAAACGCCAATTAAAAAATGCAATTAGTATTGACAATTGACAATCACAAACAATTATTAAATACAGCAAATTATTCAAACGCAACAAACACAATAATTCGTGTATTGAGCTTCTCTTTTTCTTTTCGATTTTATTAATTTTATTTTATGAAAGAACATGAGATGAATTAATAAAAATATACTCATATATTCGAACTCCATAAATTATCACTTTACCCAACATTTTTGATTCGCATCTCCTGTTCTTTTATTTTATAAATTGTCAACTGTTTTTTTCTTCTAGCAAGCTCTAAAAAGTATGCTTTGAAATTTTCTCATATTTGTTAATATACGGATTACATTGACTATATTCGAATTCTTTGGTATTTCACAAATTTGTAATAGCCTTACACCCAAAAAGGATTTTTATATAAAATAGATTTATAAATATATTAATTAAAATCTTTAAAAACAATAGATTCCTGAAACAAAAATCGTCCAAAAAAATATTCAGCCTATTAGAAATTATTGAAAAATATTTTGTAGGCTTCAAACTACTTTTAAAATATTTTGTTCAGCTAATAAAAATGTTAGAAAAATATATTTATGCGTAACTTTAATTGAATATTTTATTTATATATATTTTTAAATATATTTTGATCGAATAATATTCACACTCTTTTTTTTAGTTTGTCGCTTTCAGTTAAATTGATAAAATCGAAATGAAAAGTGAACTGCTGGAATGGAATCCAACCTTTACAAGGAAGGAAAGAGGACTTTATGCTCACCTAGAGTCGCCTGAGCTGCCTGGGCAGCTTGGGCCGCCTCGCCCGTTGTCAGCGACAGTTCAATGTAGCCGACGACAATGGAGAGCAGTGTCAGATCTGGTTCGATGGCGCTGGTGAGGGAACGACGGAATAGATTCACCACATCCGATGTGGATTTCAAGGGGAACAGGCTGGCGTCAACGATGCCGTTGAGGGCCATGCACGGACTGGCGCTGGCGCTGCGTGTAACTGTTGACATGTTGACGCTTGCAGCTGCTGATGCTGCACAACACTTGACAGCACTAAACAGAAAAAAGGATTTGTCGCACACTTTCTATTGCTTTTGGTTTGTTCTGCTTCTGCTGCTGCTTCGTCTTCTTTTTCTTCTTCCTCTTGTTCGTTTGAGCAGTTGCGCTGTTGTTGTTGTTTAGCACTGGCCGCAGGCGCTGTTGCATGCACACTGGACGAGTTGCACTTCCACTTGACAGCAGCAGCAACAGCGGCAGCAGCGGTAGCAGTACAGCCAGACACTTTGTTGCTGCAACATTTGAGCGGAGAGCATGGGCCAAGGGAGGGGGCAGTGTGTGTTTGTGCAATGGACGCCACAAGTTGACAAACAACTTTTTTACTTTCCACCTTGTTTGCGCGCACTGTTTGCCCTTTTTTTTCTTTTTGGATTCTTTTTTTTTTTGTTTAGGCCTCTCTTCGTAGTTTTGCTTTGTCGCGCTTTGTGCACTTATTCTTGAGCAGGATTTTTAATGCAATGTGTTGCGCTATAGATGGCGCTGCATTTTTAATATATTATTTTTGCAATTGCAATTTGTATTCTCTTTTCGCGTTGCGCTTTTTCTGCTTCTTTGTGTATATGTGCAAGTGAGTGCTCTTATGTGTGTGTATGTGTATGCGTGCGTCGGTCAAAATTGCACTGGTGCTTCGTTAATTTCTGTCGTGCAGTTTACCGTTTTTGTTGTTGCCGTTAAATATCCTGTCGTCGCTTCGCACTCGTTTTGCACACGTCAGCAGCCGCGACGGCAGCAGCGCTGCTTGTTTGGCAGGTGCGTTGAGCGTCGGCAGCAGCAGCAGCAGCTGAAATTGCGTAGCGTTGTCGTTTTATTGCGTAGCATTCAAAGTAGCTCCCCGCGTCACCTCACCAGCCCCTCGCTAACACACGTGGGAATCTACGTCGTTAATATCTTTCTCTCTCTCTTTTGCAGTGTGTTGAATTTTATTTTATATTTATTCTTTTTGTATTTATCACAATTTTATTTATTTTATTTTGTTTGATGCGGGTAAAATTTGTGTGTTGCGTCGACTGTTTGTTGTTGCCGCTGCTTTATTATTATTGTTGGCATTTTGCTTTGGCCAATCGTATGCGTTTTTTTGTGGTCTTTTTTAGCGTCATTAGCACACTTGGCAGCACTCAATAACAGCGTTGCCACCAGGGCGCTTTTAATGCGAGTCACTGTGAAAAGAGTCACAGTGATTTTTAATGAAAACGATTTGTATTTAGTTGTTAGCTTTAAAGATTCAAGATTGTTCAATAATTTAACTTTAATAATACAACTTTTATTTATAGTAATAATAAATATAAATAATACTGGGGAATCTCTCACTAAGTTACTCTCACCCATTCGTAGTTACTTTACAGTTGCGCATCTCTAGCTGTTTTAGTAAAATATATGTAAACAAATGCCGGCTTTCCTCGACTTCAATTGTTGCAAGACCATCGACTGCAAACAGGGCGCAGTGCGTGCTGTCCGTTATAACGGTAAACCTTAAATAGTGTTATTAAATGTTGGAATATTTATCCGCTTTCTTTGCTTTTAGTTGATGGCACTTATTGCATGAGCTGCGGCTCCGACAAAAAGGTGAAACTTTGGAATCCCGCAACGGGATTATTGCTCAAAACATATGGCGGCCATGCGGACGAGGTGACCGATGCTGTGGGCAGCTGCGACAGCAGCTATATCGTCTCTGCCAGCCTGGACAAAAGCATCATCTACTGGGATGTGTCAACAGGTAAGAAAACTCTTCTACTTCTACATACAGTGGCGTACAAAATTATAGCACCACTATTTGGTTCGTTTCTTGATTCGTAAGCAAGCGATATCGTTGTGATGCCATTATTTTGTGCACAAGTGTAGCTATATAACTGTTTATATAGATAGGCTAGAATTTATATAATACACAATAACGATTTCTGTAAGGTACGACTGTAAGTGCTACTATTATTCTACCCCCGACTGTATGCAGACTCACCTGTTTCCGTTGCATTCGCAGGTACTCCCGTGCGTCGGCTGCGCAGTCACGCTGGCGGCGTGCGCTGCGTCTGCTTCAACGAGGACTCGAGCATAGCGATATCGGGGGGTCGGGATAATGCCGTGATGTGCTGGGACATACGCACCCGGCGCCTGGAGCCGGTGCAGGTGATGAAGGAGGCAAAGGATTGCATTACCACAGTGCTGACCAATGAGCAGAAGATCTATGCCTCGTCGCTGGACGGCTGTGTGCGTCACTACGACATACGCATGGGCGAGATGTGCTGCGACAAGATTGGCCAGGCCATCACCTACCTGGCGCAGACGAGGGACGAGCAGTGCCTCGTCGCTGGCTGCCAGGACAGCGTGGTGCGCCTGCTCGACTGCGAATCGGGTGGCTTACTCTCCGAGTATAAAGGCCACCAGGCCGATGATTATCACATCGAGTGCGGCATCTTGGCCAGCGATGCGCATATTGTGGCCGGCTCCAGCGCGGGAGATGCCGTCATCTGGGATCTGCTCGAGGCGAAAGTGCTTCAACGCATTCGCATAAGTAGTTATAACTTATATATATAGTAAATCCGATCTTAACTTTGTTATACTTTTAGGTGATAATGGAGGCGTGGTGCATTCCTTGGCAACGCATCCCAAGCGACAGGAGCTGCTCTTTGCCAGGAGGAGGGATATGTATGTCTTCTCAGCAGATCTTCAAATTGAGGAGCAGCAATTGTAGCAATGCAGAAATTGGGATTGAAACACCCCCTATAATAGTAATAGTAATTGTAGAAATATCAAATCTTCTAGCATTTAGTATTAGCTTAATTTATATCGAAATAAGGCTAGTCATGATTCTGTTAGTTTTATTGTTCTGAAATATTATTTCTACACTCAAGAAAATCATCCAAAATTTTCGGGCTTTGCATTTTTGTGAATTTTTCTAAAGTTTACAAAAAATATATATAATTTTCAAGACGTTTTTTATGAAGAATTATTATATTAGCTTTGTTATACTTATATTATTGATAAACATAAACAATAAAGCGGAGCCAGTAACTTTCAACCATGTAGGTTGGAATCTTCTGATAAAATTATATGTATATATATATAAAATCCGTAATAACCCTCCATTATGTAGAGTTTGACTCCCCCTGGAAATAAGTATTCCCACAACAGGAATATCAGCGCTGAAATGGATGAAAATCGAGAATCTGTCTCAACAATTAAAATCACCAAATTGAATTTCTTTGAGGGGAAAAGGAAAAACCATTTATTTGACATAATTTTTTTTGTTGTTTTCGTATTTTTTTAAATATTTAATGTATTTTGTTTGTTTGTTTATATAGAGCATGAATGTACGTAGTAATATGTTGTTGTTGTATGTATGATCTGGCTTATATAACGCATAATCATGTTTGTGTTGCTGTTTTACTTGTTGTTGTTGCTATTTTTAGCTATAAATTTGTTGGCCTGCAACGCGCTCTTCTTCTATCTCGTATTCTCCTACAAAAAGAATGCCCAATGAATGTGCAAGTGCGTGCGTATGTGTGTGTTTGTATGGGTGGAGCGCCGCTCTCTCCATCATTCTCAAACTCTCTCTCCGTTGTGGGGGGTTGGGGGAAACAAAGCCGTTGGTACGCTGCGCATGCGCTTGTCGGACAAAAGCTGGCTGCTTTGAGGGCGCGCGCGCGCAAGCACAGCGTACCAGCGGCTTAGCAAGAGAGCATAACACTCTCTTCTCTTTGTCGATCTCTCTCTCTCGCACACACACACGCACACAATGCATACGCACAGTCACACGCACAGTGCACACTCACACATGCATGGGGCATTCGCATTTTGTTTGCAGCGTTGTGTTGGCCTCTCTTTCTCTCAACTGTGTTTTTACTGTTGTAACTGCGAACTTCAACTCACGCTGCTTGCTGCACTTACATACTATATATTACATATTACATATATGGGTTTATACGTATGTATATGTATGCAATTTATTTATTTGTATATATATATATATATATATATATATATATATATATATATATATATTTATTTATATATGTATGTGTGTAATTATGGATTTATATATGCATAGTATTAATGTACTCGTATTTTGTAGTAATATTATTATGTAATTTTGCGTTAGCTTATTTATGTATATATATATATATAGATATATATAATTATGTGTTGGTGTGTGTAGTTTATATAATAAACGATTCTCACTTCTTCTTACCACTTTCATCATTCTCTCGCTCTCTTATAATTAGATATACAATCAACAAAAAACTCAAAAAAATTCGCATTTTCTTCTTCTTCGACTTCTTAATCATCTTGTTTGTTTTTGGGTAAAGGAAAAATACAATCAAGTTGTGTGTTTAAATGTTAGGTTATGTTATGTTTGTATGTGTTGGTGTGTGTGTGTATATGTAAATTTACAATTAATTAAATAATAGAAAATAATTTAAAAAAGTAAAAATTAATGCGATGGTGTTTATAGAGTTCAGCATGCTCATATTATATATATGCATATATATATATATATATATATATACTTCGACATATATTTAGCATGTACCATTTTTGTTTTTGTTTCAAATATTTGTTGCTTATTTTATATGTATTTATTTTTTAGTTTTTTTTTGCTGTTTTACTTTTTGTTTATTTTGTTTTTTTTTTTATGTGTGTTTTTTGTAATAAACAGAAAATCATAAAATTTTATGTCTATTTTGTTTTTTGTACTCTGTTTTGTTGTTGTTACTGCCTGTTGTTGTTGTTTGTTGTTTTTCTCACATTTACTTAAACAATAATTGAACAAAATTGTTGTTTGCTGCTTTTAATTACAGTGGCTATGTGAGTTTTTCTATTTATTTTAATTTCTTTTTTTTTTTGCAAATGAAAAATATAAAAACATGTAGTTAATTAGAAAAATTAGTAATATTTTTTCTTTTTGTTTAACTGCACAAAATTCTTGACTAAACTTTATACAATTTGCCCCATTGTTGTCAACACTGCTGCTTGCGCGCCTTCAACAGCAGAGGGCGCGCGCCACAGCTTGTTTACATTTTTCGACGCAAGAGAGTGCGCGCGCGCCTCTCAATGCCGCCTAACAGAGCGGTTAAGGTTAATGCATTGCTGCTGCTGCTGTTGCTTAACATAGCTGTGTCGCTTATTTAGTAGAGTAGGAGTTGCTGCTGCTGCAGCTGTTGCTGTTATGTTATTGCGAGCGCTGTTAATGCTGATGTTGCTGCTACTGATGCTGTTAATGGTAGGCAATCAGGATGACGGCAGCTGTTTGGCAACAATGACGCCAGGACGACACTGTTTCAGTGACGTCGTTATGGTCACCGGCTGATGTGACGTCATCGTTGCACCGCCAACCGTCCCACTGCTGCCGCCGCTGCTCGTCTGTACCTTAAAAATGGCTGTGGGTGTTACCACATCCTTGGCCGATTTGGTTGTAATAATGACCTGCTTGTTGCCGCCAGTCTTCAGCTGCAGAAATGGTCGCAGCTCAGCGAGCGCTGTATGCTGTTTACCCGTTGTGGTCAGAGCCAGAGGCGCGTCCTGCGCCAGGCGATGACTCGTCGTGATCAGCTGATGATGTTGCTGCTGTTGATGTTGCTGCTGCTGCTGCTGCTGCTGATGTTGCTGATGGTGCTGTTGATGTTGCTGCTGGTGGTGTTGCTGTTGTTGATGTTGCTGTTGATGTTGCTGCTGATGCTGTTGATGCTGCTGTGATTGATGATGTGATTGATGCTGTGATTGATGCTGCTGCTGTTGCTGCTGCTGTTGATAGTGATGCTGCAATTTGTGCTGCTGGTCGCCGTCGGCAAACAGATGATCTCCCTCTAGATGCCGAATGGCCTCCACAATTGTTTCCAGATTTTGGCGGGAGCGTGTAAAGACCGCGGTGGCACCCATCACCGTTGTCGTCGTCGGCTGATCCAATTTCTCGGTTTTCACCTTGACGATCTTCTCATTGATGCGCTCCACTTCGACCTTAGGCGTGGCCTTGATGGCCGCCTGGAGGATGGGCGTGCTCATGCCCTCGGCATACGCTTTGGCAATCGCATTCACGTTGACCTCGTTCTCCGATTCCGTTGAACTGTTCGATGAGAGGATGACCTCCTCGTGCACCTGATCCTCACTGATAATCTCAGCGGCTGCATCCGATTCGAGCTCTTCGATGCTGGAGCAGACCACAACTTGTTGCTGGCCCGTCATCTCATCGATTTCGACGTAGGAGACGGTGCCGCCCAATTCCTCCAATTCATCGGCACGCACAAAGTTATCGGTGTGTTCGATAACTTCGCGTGGTATCGAATAGGTGCCACCACCACTATTGCTGCTGTTGTTGCTATTCACTGTGGCTGCGGCTGCCACTGCTGTGTGCGGCGGGGCAGTTGCCACACTGTACAGCTGCCGCTTAATCATCTGCAACTCATCCTCGAGCAGGCGCCGCAAACTGCGCTCCTTCTCCAGCTGCTTCTTCATCTCTAGCAACTCTTTGGCTGCAATGATGCTGGCATTATTCAATTTTGCTGCTGCCCCACCAGCGCCACCGGCTGCTGCAACGGCTGCTGCTGCAGCTGCCCCACCAGCACCAGTGAGCAGTGTCATCGGTTCGGGTGACATGGAACCCAATCCTTCGTCGGAACTGTCGCTGATCGTTTGCATAATCACATTGTCCGTCAATTTTCGCTTCTTAATGGCAACTGCATTTCCATTTTTATTGTTGTTGTTGGAGGAGGATTCGTTGTTGCTGTTGTTGTAATTGTCATTGGAGGCGCCTCCACCACCTCCTCCTCCGTTTGCCTCATGTTCGCCCACCTGCCGCTTGAGTTCGCTGTTTTGGGTCAGCAGCTGTGTCTTCTGGTTCTCCAGATCGACTATATATTGAAACGTCTGTTGCAGTATGGCAGCCTGCAAAAGAAGAATAGTTCAAATTGGAGCTATTAATATATATAAATATTATAGAACAAGATTTAGTTGATACTAACACTCCAAATAGGAATACAAAATGAGGAATGTAGTTTATAAATATTTGAATAAGGTTTCAAAGGTTATTTGTTATTTAATTTAAGAGATTTCTGATTTCATTTAAATTAAATTATTATTTCTAGTTTAATTTACAAAATATTTCTAATTTAAAAGAATATTTTTTTTATTTTAAATGCTAAAGAAGTTTTTCAATTAAATTTAAAGTAAGTTTCTAATTGAATTTAAAGAAGTTCTATAAGCAAATGGAAAATAGAAATTTATAAATGATATTGTTTCAATTTAAATACAAGTTTAGATTTTTCGCGATTCTTCGCATTGCAGGAACTAAACACACACGCACACACAAACTGTAACAGAGCAAGCATAGCATGTACATATGTTGGCAACAATGCAAACTCATTCACAAGACGCCACCAAGCGGAGCGCAGCAGCATAATCTGCCGAAGTGCGAGAATGAGAGCGAAGGCGAGAGTGAGAACGAGAGAGAGAGAAAGGGAGAGATTTGATAATTACCGCAAATGAATGCACGCATGCTTATACATATGCATGTATGTATGGACATGTATATAAGTATGCATAGCATATGTACAGAAATTCATAAGTGCGATTTGCATTGGTATTGGTGCGCTCATAGTAAATAGTGTAGTAAAGCCTGCTGCTGCTGCTGCTTTTGTTGTGCTGTGTTGTGTGTTATGTTGTGACGCCGTCTTGCCGTCAAAAGGTGAAGGAACTTGTGTCCTTCAAAATTGCGCGCGTTCTCTTGCCACAAAACAGCAAAACCACACACACACACAGAGGCATGTGCATAAATATATATGTATGTATTTCGCAGCATAGCCAACAGCTTTTGCATGCGTGCACAAAAGTTGTGAGTATTGGCAACACTTCTAAAAAAAAAAGTGCGTGGGCAAAAAACACGCTTAACGGTGAAAACAGGCATAGAAAGCAGCAGCAAAGCGTAGGCGATATTTGTGCAAAACGATAAGAATTGCAAACTCTGGCAACACCCAATCAGAAAGGAATGCAAGCAGCGACGCCGGCTGAGCGGCAGCCGCAGACGCCACCGCCTCATGGCAAAGGAATGCGAAACTCTGTGAAAATTCTTTGGCTTTGATTAAAAAATAATAAATCTCTCTGTTGTGGTTGTTGTGGATGCTGCTGCCTGCTGCAGCAGCCATAAAACTTGTTTCACATTTTACTCGCTTGTTGTCGGAGGTCACTACTACAACTACAACAACAACAATAACAGCAACAAGAAGAATAATAACGACTAGCGACTCAACACCGGCGACTCACACACAGCTGCTGCTGCTGCTCTCACCCATCCTCCCTCCTCCAGTTAACCGTTCTCTCTCTCTCGCTCGTTCGCTCGCTCAATGCACAGCTGTCTGGGCGGCAAAGCTGTTATGTTGTTTTCATAAACACAACACAGAAGAGAGAGACAAACTGAAAAAGAGAGAGAGAGAGTGGGAGCAGAGCAGCAGCATTTTGTTTGTGTACAGTTTTCTCAGCTTTTTGGCTGGGCATAAAAATCAGCGACGCTGACGTCGACGTCGACGTTGCCATCGTCGGCATTGCAATGTCGAGCGCATATTTTATAAATATAATAACAATAAGAATAAAAATAATCAAGTACACATTTAACACTATTTTAATTTATTCTATTCAATTTCAGTTGTTGCTGTCGCTGCTACCCCAAAGGCCGTTCATTGACTTTAGTTGTTGGATTGCATTGGAAATTGGATTGTATTGGAAAATGACAAAACGTTGGAAAGCTGCATAGGCAGCCACAAAAACAAGATGAATTTGCCAATGGGGCGTGCCGCCAAAAATATGCTAATTGGAATAAAATAACATTAAATAAAGCATAAATGTAAAGATTAGTTTAAAATAATAAAAACAAACAAACATTATGTGTGTTGTTATTATTATTATCATTTACATAAACAAAAGACTAAAATGTGCAGAGGATTTTTCAAATATAGAATTTTCTATAAAAAATATAAAGAAAATTTAATTGCAGATTATTTAAAAACATAGGAATATGCCCAAGAAAACGAAGCATTTCCAATTTGTTTTACAAATTCAATCGCCCGAATCAAATCAGAAAGCTTTATTAAACTAACTTTAGCTTATCACTTTCTTGTTGGAGAAAAAACAACTGACAAGGCGTATGTGTGTGTGTGTAACCGGCAAGTCATGTCTGGGCTAATAAGAAATTGTCGTCGTCGTCAGCAGAAAATGCCGGCAAAAAATCTATACACAAAAATCGCCACAAGCGAAAAAAAAAAACAAGAAAAACAGCAAAATTCGCAATAACAGCCGCAGCCACAGCTGTATTATAAACACACACATATACACAGATGCATATGTGTATACATGTGTGCTATTCATCAAACTGTATGCATTGGTGTGAGTGTAAACAAAAAGCCGATCAAACGCGCGCTGTTTTTGTTCCAACAAGAATCCCAAGCAGCCAACGCGTTCGAGCAGCGAACCAAACCAGACGTCAACCAACGACGACGACAGCAACAGCAGCAGCAGCACAGCGCAGGCAGCATTTTTGCGGCGACTGTACTTTTTTCCAACACACAACGAAAACACACCACCAAGCAGCAAGCAGCAAAACACCAGCAGCAACAGTTCCAATACGAAAAGTTTTTCAATATTCGCCGGCGTTTCATAGTTCAACGTTCCCACAAAATGTTGCTAGCGTGCGCTCTTAGTCTGTGTGTGTGAGAGAGAGTGAGAGCGCGTGGCTTCGTTAAGTTTCGTTTGCCGTTTCGTTTCGTGTGAAACGGAAATTGTACTGCAGGCAGCAGCAGCAGCAGTCGTAGCGAAAAAAAACATGTGGACTCAAGCTTTTTTCATCAGCTTTCGAGCGCTCTCTCGCTCTAGCAAACACGTGTTAAGTTAAGAGAGCCTTAATGCTTCCAGTCCACCGAATATAGTAGTCGCTCTCTCTCTCTCTCCCTCGCTCCGCTCTCTCTCTCTCTTGTGTGTGTATGTACAGCAGCAGCTGACTTGCTGCCTGCTGTCTGCTTGCTGTCTCTGCTTCGTTTCTATAAATGGCGCGTCTGACGACAACGTCGTCGGCCTGTTTTCTTCTTTTTCTGCTTTATCTTATTTTCTACACTACGCTACAATTTGTTGATTGAATAAAATGCATATAAAAATAGCTTGCAATGAGCGCTGCGCGCGCCAAATGCTGATTCGTCATCATCATCAGCTGAGTGGCGTGTGTGCGTTTGAGTGAGTGTGTGTGTATGAGTAGTAGCCACCCAAAATGCACAATGCTCCCCCTTTCCCTTCCAGCAGCAGCTGTCTGGCCTACGTGCTTTAACGCATGCCCTACGCATTAAAAACAACTCTGTTGTTGTAACAAAAATATATACAAAACAAAAAGAAAAGAAGAAAAAACACGAAAAAAAAGAATAAAATCAATTCACTTAAAATTTTCTTATTTCGTTTAATTGGAGTTTCATCATTTTTTTTGTCGTAAATCGATTTTAGCAATTGCATTTTACTCATTTATATCGATGTTGAATTTATCGATATTATCAATTTGTAACAATATATTTAGAAAAAACAAGAAAAAAAATTCATTCCGACTTTTCTTTGTCTTTGTTGTTTGGTAGTTCTCATCTCTTTTTATGGTATATATAGAATTGCATTAGTTTACTGCTCAGCTCACGAATCATTTGAAATATAAATATTGAATTATCGCAAAAAAAAATATTGAAAATCATTGCTTTTGCTTTTGCATTAGATTTTAAATATTGTATTTTTACTGCACTGCTCTGCTCGATTTTATCTCTATATATCGAAATTGAATTTATCGATATGCACAATTTGTAATTTGAGTATTGTAGCAAGAATCCAAGTGCTATAATTCCTCTTCTCTTCTCTTCCTCTTATCATTGATTGCATTTACTTTTGCTTTTGGCTGTTGCTTTTTCTCTGTTGCTTCTTTTTTAGCTGCTGTTATTGCGTCGCACGTTTTGTTGGCGGCAAACAACAATTAGTGTTGTTCTGTTTGTTCTCGCTGCTTCTGTGCTTCTGCTTATCTCTCGCTCTCCCTCTCTCTCGCTTCCGACCAACGACAGGTGTGAGTGCTGCGACTTCATGCATGTACGCGTGTGTATGTGTGCTCTCCTTGATGAGTGACAGAGAGATTGGAGAGGGGGGGAGAGCGCATACAACAAATGTGTAGCACGGCAAACAGAAAACAAGTCAGCTGACATATTAAAATTGTAGTTTCATGTTTTTCTTCCTCTTCAGTGGTATTTTTTCTACTTTTCTTCTTCAATTTTTGGCAAAATAAAGCGCGTGTTTTATTTTTTGCAATTCATTAGCATTTTTTTTATAGCGCTGAGCTTTTGCAAGTCGAATATTTTGCTAAAATTAGCAATACACACACGCACACATATGCATACACATGTGTATTTACAAACATAACGGAATTTGAGAAGGCCGCACACGTTGCAGCACACAGCATACAGCTCCTCATTTTGCGAAATACACACCCACACAATCATATCGTACACACACATGTGTACATATATGCTCAAACAAAAAAACAGCTGCGGCTATCAAACGCTGCTGCCGGCATTGATGCTCACGCACACACATGCATAAAGCACCCACACACAGAGGAGGTCGGTTGTCTCGCTCGCTCTCGCTCTTTCCCACACTCAGCTGTCGCCCACAAAACAATGGGCGCCAAACATGTGTTTTCTACACACTCACACATACGTAGCTCAAAGCTCGCACAGCATTAAACGATAATGGGTGACAACATCACACAGAAACAGAGAGAGAGTGGAAAGAGAGAGCGAAAGAGATTGGCGGCTGGCAAATGCATTAAATTAATACACTATTTATAAACTATATAACACTATAAGCAGTGTTCGCCGTTATTT